ACCAACGCAATCCTCACGACGAGTTATTGTGGGATCGTTACAGCGTGCCAAACGACCACCATAAAGCTGTACTCCGTAACTAGCAAAGATGAACATGAGAAGAATCAACAACGTTGAAACCAATAAGATTTCTTTAAAGCCGCGACATAGCTCATAGACCACTTTTCGCATGTGCGGTACCAGCGTAAAGATTCTCAGCGGACGCACACATCGCAGAATCATCAGCAGTTGGGCCGCAGAATTGGTGGGTATGTTGTGTGGCATCCAGCAAAGAAATGAAGTTGAAACTACGTATATAAAGACGTCAAGCGCTGCAGCCACATCCTTGATGTAAGCTTTAGGTGTAAAGAACAAACCATCAGCAAGAATTTTCAGAGCAAGCTCCAGACTCATGAAAATAACAAAACCATATTCAGCGATCTGCAGCGTGGGATGATCCATTAAACGATAACTGGGGGTCTCGAACATCATTGAGATGCACGAAAGAGTGGTAGCAAAAATCATAACCCAGTCAAGATAAGTGACAAGACCAAGGAAGTTACTAATGGTATGCAGATAATATAAATTTGTAATATCACTAGACCACATTAGTCCTTTACTTACTGCAAGCTCTTGTATTGCACCTTGCGCTCCTTTCCAGTTAATGGATCCTTGAGCCTCGCATCATAGCGTGCATGAACAATTTTTTGGCAAATCTTACGAAAACTACTCTCTCGAGGCACAAGAAACAGCGGCGTGTCAAAGAACGGATGATTCTCACGTAAATCTTCCTCGCGCTGATTGCGTCGCATTTCTGCTTGCTGACGCTTCGCTTGCAACAGCTTGATATCTAGGTCGTGAGGCCTAGCCCGGCCGGAATTGGCGCGGGGTGCAGCAGCAATGTCACCATTCTCCATAAGATGCTCATATGTCTGCTTTAGCTTAATAGATCCAGAGCGCACGCTGCGACGTATGGAACGGGATCCAAATCTGTAAATTGGTAGCGAATACACATCAAACGAATCATGCCACCTGCGGGCAAATTTTACTTACTTTTTTTGGTCAACCCGCCATGGCTTGGAATGTGTAATGGTACCCTGTGATTTTAGGCCGCCCTTAGTGCCCACCACTGGCAACATGGCCGAGTCACCCAACATAAGACGCTGATTGTTACTGTCACTGCGGTAAACAAATGATTGTTATTTCATACTATCTGCCATATATTCTTGGTATATACTTTATTATATGAGTGATGGCCAATTTTCGGAGGCTGCTTCCTGCGGCTCGCACCTTTGCGGTTTTGTTCATAATGCGCACTGGTTTTTGCTTACGAAAAACAACATTGGACTCCCAGCACTCAGACATCGGCCGTTTACAGTTCTCCACAAGCGATGGGTCCTCCGTTTCCAATTCAATTACAAAATGCTTCATGAAACTCTCACGCACCTTGGGCAGTATAAAATCATTTGGAATGCGATGAAGAATGGTCATTTGTGGTGAGTCTGGAAACTTTTCGAAAATTCGTAATCGAAAGGGAAGGGTCTCCTTTATTTCCGCACTTTGTTCGCGAAACTTTAGCTGCTTTAGTTTCTTAATGTCCTCGTCTAACTCCAAATTGTCCAATATTACCGCCACGAAAAGACTGAGCACGATGAGCGTAACAAATAGATGATATAATATAAAATAAACGGCTACTAGCGGTGTCAGCGTTTTACTAGTGCGTATCATTGTTTCATCCATTACCTCCACCCACGCTTCCTGCGTTAGAATCTGAAACATACTCATAAACGCCTCCGGGAACGACTCAAACTTGGTGAAGTCGCATAAAAAGCAAAATAGTTGCATTGAAATGCTCGAGCTAATGATTAGTAAGCACATGGTGAAGATTATAAGCGAGCCCAACTTTTTTCCGGGTCCAAAAATTTTGTACACAAAGCCCTCTAGCATGGGAGAGGCTTTTATGAGTCGCACTACCCTAAGCACTTGAAAATAAGTCAATCCAGACAGATAGAAGATGGGAACTATGTGTAATGAAGTACCCGCTGCAAGCAACAGCTCAAACTTGTGTATAGAATGCTTGTAATAGCCACGCCAACCCAGGCAGTAGATTTTAAACATTGTTTCGAGATCGAGGAGACACGTAAAGACCACCTCTATGTAGTAATATCTCTCATAAAATACATGACGTGGCCTACCGTCATGCTTAAATGCCATCGTGGCCGTCACAATACCATTGGCCAGTATAACCGACATAACCAGCATTCGAAAATATGGAGAGCGCAAGATTGCATGGCAAGTCTCAGGCGCTAATCCGCCATGCTTATTGTCATCGATTGTGACCAATCGCCAGCCCGAATCGTTTCCGCTAAGTATTTGAGAAGCAGCCGTCTTTTGTATGTGGCCTCTGGCTCCCCACATCTGTTGAAACTGGACGCGTATCTCGTTGAAAGTTTCCGTTATGACAGCTATAAACACGTTCTTAACCAGCCAAGCTAAAAAAAATATCATAGTGCTGAAGTAGAATGCCGCACGCCATGCCGGGAGCGAGTCTATTGCGCGATACATAATAAAAACCCATCCTTCTTGCGAAGCGGCTTGATATACTGTAAAAATACTTGTCGCAATGTCCTCGAAGCCGTTGAAGCCTATAACGTAGCTACTTAAAAAATCCATTTTCATGCAACGCATGCCCGGCGAGCATTGATAGCCTGAGTCAGGATCCATTGAGCAAAATGTGTCTGGTATCGCCAATGAGTTAATTGTGAGTACACTGATAAGATACAAGATGTTTTAGAAGAATCCTATTGTTGTTATATACTGCATGCTTACGGCCTGCCCAACTGATCATAGCCGGTGTTATTCATAACACAATGATTTTTCAGCTCTCCAAAGAACTGCACACCGAGAAGTCCATACAACGACATGAAGAACAAAAAGAAGAGCGTCACATTATAAATCTGCTGACTTGAGCGTCTATAAATAGAAAGGCACGGTATAAAACATTTGTTCGGGTCCTAGAATTAACTACCTACTTGAAGATTTGATTGATGCGGCTCTTGGGCATACTAAATTTAAGAAAAACACGAAGAAAGCGTATCATAATAAGCGGACGCGGAGCCCTCATAATGGATAAGTAGGAGAATCTGTAAGAAAAATGGTTAGAAATTCAGGAATTAATTCAGTAAGGTATTTCGCTGACTACTTACTTAGGTACGATTTCAAGCACTTCGAATATCTGAAGTATGATGGAGACCCAGAGAAAGCTTACCATGGAGGCATCAAACTGACACCAATGATCCTTAAGGTAAGGCACCTCGCCCTGGTAAATGCAAAGAAAGCATGAACAATCCGCTAACTCGATTTGGGCCGTGACTCACATTTAGAACTCCACGAATGTGCATTTTAGCAATCATTTCGGCCGTGAAGAGCACTGTCACAGCTGTGTCTGAGACAAAAGTGATATACTGCAATGAGGGATGACGCTCGAAGGTCTTCGGCGTATTTAAGGAGACAGACGCCAGTGAGACTAAGGCGCACAATCGCATCAATCGTCGCACCCACAGCTTGTTCACCCACTCAATATCTGCGCTCTCGTTTAACGATTCCTCCGGGCCGTAGTCAGCTAAAAAAGGTTCACCTCCCTTGAGACTTTGCTTTCGACCCAGCATAATCTTATTTCCAATTCCTGTGGCAATCCCCAATCCGATTGGCGGCACTCCTGTAATAGCAGCACTGCCCACGGTGCTGCTTATACCACCGCAAATGCCCATACCAGCGACGGCGGCTCCACCTCCCAGACCGCCAATGCTGCCCAGCAGATTGAGGCCTCCACTAACACCTCCCACTGGGCAAGCTGCTCCTCCCGCTCCGTTGTTAAGGGCATTGCTTGCGGTGTGGCTGCCTATAACCGTCGGCGGACTTGTCACTGCCGCTGTTGACAAGCCTCCAACCTGCTGTTGCATCCCGTAGGCAGTGCTGTTGCAGCTGCCCGAGTTCACAATAGTTGTCGGACTATTGAGCACGCTGGATGCATCTTGACGTGTGCCCAATCCGTTGCAGGGGCTGCTACCCGACGATGGGTTAAGGCTTATCTGACTGATTTGCTGCTGGGAGCTCCCTATGAGCGAGTGCTGGTGTTGATGAGGTTGTGAGAGTAGATGTTGCTGAGGTGTTAAACTGTTTCCGCTGGAGGAGCTGGTGCTAGCTGTCGCTGGCGTTGTAATGCCGCTGCAGGTGTGAAAGCTGCTTCCGCCTCCCGCGCGTTTTCTTCTAGCAGCTGCACCCAAGCGACGAATCTGTAAGCGGTCAATCATTCAAGCAGCGCATCTTGCTCCCTCCCGGGTTGTTTTTTAAGGTCGCAGGTTAAAATAGAAGGAAGAAAGACTCCCAACTTGTTTGTCTGTCTATAATGTTAGCCAACAATTATTCAGGAATCTTTGTCAATATATACGTTCAAATAACTGAAAATTTCAAGCAACTTTTAGATTCCTTGAAACATTTTCAACCCTCGATAACAACAGAGAGATGTCCATATACTTATATACATATATGCTTATCTACACAGGAACCCGCAAAAGTATATATACATTTATTAACGTACTTATCCACGTGAAAATTTATATAAAATATGTTTCTTATACATGAATTGCACGTAAGCATATTTCATAACGCATCTTACATACTTTTAGTTTTTGGTAGAGTTTACGCTCATTTCATAAAAACTACCCTTAGAGGCGCAAAAATACCCAAATTATTTAATCTTTAGAAATTGCACATATACACTTGAATGCTCAACAATAACTTTAACTAAAATTTTAACAACTAAGCGAATACATTTTTAAAGTTGAAAATGCTTTTTGCACTAAACAGTAAACGGGTAATTCAAAGATGTATACGAACGCGAACTTGAAACAGCAGTATCTTAGTGAACCAACTGACAGACAGTACCCATCCTACCAGATACAAATTATGTGCTCTGGCCAGCGCCTGCGCATTGATATCTACAGCAACGGGTCGATGACAACAATATCAGACTGACACCAGCAACTCAAAATTAGGGAACGTAAGTTTTCAGATATCCTAAGCATAACATGGGCGCAACGGCCTTGCATAATAAATCCCCAACACTGGGTTATCCGGAGCATGATGATCCGGCGTATCGCAAGTGCCAGGAGTTGAAGGCAAGTTCCTTATCTAGCCTGTATTGCTCAAGGGGTGATAACTTAACAAACTGAATGCAGATGGAACGTTGGATTCAGATGCACTACCAAATCAAGCAACGGGAACAGGCGTTGGCCATTGCTCAGCATCGGGAACTCTTTTACTGGCTGAGCGGCTTCTATCTAAGCGCTTTTTATGGCTGCGCTAGCTACTACCAACGAGTCAAGCGTGCTTCAGCACTGGCGCCGCTATTACCACTTACCTTTGTTATGGGATACTACACGGACTGGGCCTATGGCAGCAAGCTGCATCGAATACAGGGTAAATTCGCTGCCATTATAAGATAGTTTATGTCCACGCAATTTTTAGGATTTCCATTTGTTTATTTATATTTACAGCCGAAGCGAATATAATTATGGAGCATGAACCGGAGTTATTGCATTGGCCAGGGGGACTACCAACGGTCGCTGGCATTGATGAGGCTCGCGTTGAAATTCAAATGGAAAAGAAAATGCACCCCCATCATATGTAGATGGATCATTATCCAAATGCATTGTCGCATGTTTTTGTAAAATAATGTTATTATTCAATAACATGCATATGCATACATGGGTACATCGTTAAATATTTTTTTATCGCTCGTATATATATACGATTAGTATAGATGTACATACAAACATACATACATACATACATACATACTTACATACATACATAGTGTACAATTATCTGGACTGTACTAATGCTAGGTAACCTGTTTATGTGCAATTGTACTTATGTTTGTACTACACGTGTACGTAAATACAGACATATAAGGGCTACTGTGTGTGCATGTGTGCACGTGCACATGCATACAGATATGCTTACGCTTTGCGCTTGCATCCACGTGGCTTGACAATATAACCACACATTTTCTTTACCAAGTTGTTTGTTTCGTTATCGATCTTGATGATATGAAATATGACATTTTCAGCAGTAGATCTTATTGTGCGAAAGAAAAGAAAAGACAACAGCATTGTGATTTTAGTTGGTGGGTAGTTTCAATTTATATATTTATTTTATTGCTAGCCATAGGGTGGAGAATAGAGTGATAGCTTTAAAATTGAACATATTTGATCAGCATATACTATTCTAGAAGCTACATGCCAAATTTCGTGACCCTAGCTCTTAGAACCTTGACCCATAGATTGCTTGAAAACGGGGCAAGCTATCGGTTATTAAAAACAAACTCGTACTTCACGGGCACTAGGACCCACGTTCAAATTTTTTATATCTTCTATAGGCTCTAAAATCGACGCGTTCATACGTACAAAAAGACAGACGGAGATTGGCTTGGCTATTAAGAATAATATAATGGGGTCGAAGATGCTTCCTTCTGTCTGTTACATGCATTTACGCAATACCATTATACACTTTTTACCCATTTTCAATGGGCTTAGTTCAGCGTATAAAAATGTACGTTCATGTACAATGAATGTGCTAGATTATATTACAAACATTACTTCCATATTAAAACTCTAGCAGTAGATGTATGTAAGTACATATGTATGTGCACATATGTTTGCATATTACCTGAAAGAAAAGTTTACTTTATATTCCAAATTCAAATCCATATGTATTTACATACATACATAAATATGTATGTTTGTGTAGCTTTTCTTACAACTGATTCTTAATCTCATGCTTCTGTATGTCCATACGTCAGTGCATTACGATTTTACACAATATTTAAGATACAATTATTATATTATATTATAATTATATATATGCATGTATACCATGCAAGCAACTTTAACCTAGAATATTTAATAAATATACATGTTGCCTGTTGCACATTCCACTTAGTAATGCATACTTCAATCCTCTAGTAATCTGTCCTCTATCAGTGCCCGGGTATCTTTCTTATAGTGCGTATAACAAAACTCGGCGATGCGGACGCAGGCTTCCTCGAGCATAGCACTTGGTACTGTTAAAACAATGCGTAAATACCCCGGATAAGCAAAACAACTACCGGGTAGACAGAATACACTCTGTTCGTTAACCAACTCCTGCACAAAGTGTGTGTCGTCTTTAAAAGCCGAAAAATGCTCTTTAGAAAGGCCAATCATCATGTACATGGCTCCGTTGGGCATAACAGGGTTAAGTCCACGCACCTGTTTTAGCATTTTGTAAGCGAGTTGAGCATTGGACTACGGGGATTTGTACTAAAAATTAGCGACATTTTTCATGTCAAACTTTTTTTGCACTCACGTAGAGCGTCTCGATCACTCTATCAAAGTAGCACTGCGGAGTCTTGGTTAGTATGTCAGGCAGTGCGCCCTGAATGATCGTATTCGAGCCAAGGATGCGTCCACACATGTTCTTGAGACCCGTCACTGCTGTTCCTAGACGCTGATGATGATCGTGCACAATAATCCACCCCATACGCCAGCCGGGCACAAGAAAACGCTTGGTAAGCCCACCACAGGACAACACTGGCACTTCGCGCGTCACACTGCTAACCGCCACGTGGCGCGAACCTGGAAACACAAAGTGCTCATAGATCTAAAAAAAAAAAAATACGCATCAATATCATGCCAGATTCAATTCAACAGAACAGGGCACGGATTAATTCTCACGAACCTCATCGGCAATTATAGGTATATAATGGCGCTCGCAAATGGCCACCAGTTGCTGCAGATGTGCTTCGTCATAGACACTACCACAAGGATTGCTTGGATTGTTTATTAGCAACGCGGCTGTATTTTTATCGATAAGACTCTCCAGTTGGACGAGATCAGCACGCCATTTTTGTTCTGGCAGCAAGTCATAATAGCGCACCTCAATGTCCAAGCCTTCAGCAAGTGTATGGTATAAACAAAAGCCGGGCCGCGGCACCAGTACGTTTTGACCACGATCGGCTAGCGCCAATATGCAATACTCTAGTGCTGAGGAACAGCCGCTGCAGAGCAATACATCACTTGGATCGATCACCCCCTCAGGGCGTTGATGTGCACTATACTTGGCCACGGCCTGCCGCGAGGTTTCATGGCCTTGAGTATGGGCATAGCCGTTAAACTTTCCACTCTCCAACGACCGTAGCACGGCCTTCATAGTTTCATCGGCGGCTTTCAGATTACCAAATGTTGTGGGATCGCCTGTAATGGGGCCTAAGTTAATAACAATTTTTCGAAGAACGAAACAAGAAACAATTGTTAACTAAGTACGAGCATAACTTTAGAATTTTCTAAATCACCTTATAATCGTTTTTGCATGTCTCCTCCTATTCTTGAATCCCATATGGGACAAGTTGGAACGTTAGCCGACTGTGATAGCCCTCCATTATTGACTCTAAACAAATTCGATTATTGATCTTGCTTCTTGATTCTCAAAACAGGTGAAACTACATTTTATGCAAATGCATCAAAAACGCGCGCGCTCGATGATAGAAAAAATAATAATATGTAACAACCGTCTACACCTTGTATTGTCACTTTACACATACACACTTCTAACGTTCCCCCCACCTAGCAATATGAAATAAATTAATAAGAAACACGCAATATGTAGGTATCTTAAAAATGCATTTGAATCTGATTTTTTCCTAAAAATTCCTATAATTAATAGCTTCATGTTTTTCTTAAATGCGTATGGAAGTGTAAATATGTCTTTTATATAATGAATACACAAACATATTCTTATAGGCACTGGAAAAGTTTTATAGTATAAATTCACATACATATGCATTTAAATATTGCAAAAATGGATAAAAAGGAAAGAAAAAACAAGGTTGCTCTATTCGGGAGTACTCAACTAGGGGATACCCTGAACCTTCTTCTACCAACACCACGTGTAACTCACAGTACCTTTGCCTTATCATAAATTAAAAAAAAATTAGGTTCCCCCTTGCCCGCTTGCGGAGGCGAAATCGCAACTACTTTCAACCAACCGAAATACTTGCCTTCCTCGCATACTCAGCCATATCATTGGCTATAGGTATGAAATGAAAGATACTTGATCGGTACATACTATTCCAAAAGCTACAATTCAAATTTTATGACTAGCTTTTAAAACCTAAGAGGTTTGCACAAAAAACAGCATTTCGATATCGATTTGTATCAATTGGAAACGGGTTAAGTTATGGATTATCCAAACAAAGTCGTACTGTGCATCGGAAGGACCTACGTTTAAATTTCAAGAGTCTAGCTCTTATAGGTTCTCAGATCGACGCGTTTATACATACGGATGAATAGATCGACATGGCTGGATCGACTTGGCTATTGATGCTGAAGATATATAATACTTTATGGGTTCGCAGATGCTTCAGTCTGCTTGTTACATACGTTTACCTAAAAACATTATACCCTTTAAAGACGTTTTCAATGGGTTCAGGGTATAAATATGGTAGCGTGTTTAAACAAACAAGTTTTAATATTTTAACACTCAGCATAAAAACAGGGAAATACTACTAATTAAAATGAGCTCGAAAAACTTGCGTCAGGAGAGCTTGGAGAATAGTCTGAAAATACCAAAAGAAACCAGCCAGCTAGGCGAGCGTGGCTTTACCGACATCTAGCAAATGTGGCAACTGAAATGTCCATACAAACAAAGGTATATATGTATTTACATTTCAATTGACGTATAGTATACGAAGCGAATTTTATAAAATAAAATAAAAATTTCAAATATTTTTACATATTCATATTAACATAAACTCATCAGCTTGCAGTTGTATAACGTAAACACATTCAATAAATAAGTAACTTTTTCAATACTCACCTATGGACAGCGGTATCATAGCCTTATTGGGATTCGGCTTAATCTGCATAGATTCGACTATATTACGAATGCGATTATGTGTATTAAGGGACAATGCAGATGCTTTAATTTCCCAGCCCGTTCTTTGCTTAGCAGGTCCAACAGCATTCTCATGAATTTTCTGGGATTCCACCTCCTGTGTGAGCGCCTCGTCTTCCACACCGCCGTTTGGAGTAGCCACCGCGGTGCTGCTCTGAAACTTATAGCCTTTGTTGGCAGCACTGCCAGGCATTATCACCAGGCAGAAGTAAAAAAATGTACACACACAAAAAAATAAAAGTTAAAGTAAAATCCAATGACGCAGTTGCCAGGTCGTTTAACGCTTCCCGCAATTTAATATTCAAATAAAGGTAGTTCGTATCCTGATTTTCATTCCAGACAAGCATTAGCCGGAAATGTTAGGATTTAGTGTGATGGCTTTGGTGTGCTTATTAATGTATAAGGTCGCTGCGAATTCTGGGTTAAAACAAAACTGATTCACTCGGCAGATCTGTTCGTGCTTTTATTGTCTCAGGCCGCGCCGCTTGACCGCTTTAATATATGTATATACGATATAAATACCATTTCGTAAGGCATACATATATTCCGCACAACACGCGCTTCGGGAGGGCCGAACCTAAGCACAACAACTACTGAAACTTCGGATAAAACTCGGGCGTTCTCGGATTTGAATACTGCCAGTGGAGATAAAAAATAAATAAGTAAATATATCTACACACTTACATACTTATGCATATAAACAATATGTAGATTCATAAAGCCTGATTAGAACTGGAACCAGATTTTTAGTTTAAAAAACAACAATGCTTAATTTAAAAGTGCCTAAGTTACCTTTAATGCCTTTGATAACCTGCGGCAGTTTCATTATAATATCTTGCAGTAAAAAGACCTTGGCCTCGGAATTCGGTATTCAGAATAATTTCACCACAGGTTAAAGAATGCTCTAGCTATCGACGTTCAACTGAGAAAACTGTTATCACTATTTGATTATGCAAACTGCGCTTCTGCAAATAACACTACTGATATTCGCATCAATGCATATATGTACATGTACTCTGCTAGGCGATATGGCACCAGGTACCAGTGGAAAATTAAATTCACAGACGACGCATGTGTATAATCGTATTTGGTTGATGCGCAAAGACAAATAAGCAAACAAGTGTAACTATTTTCAGAATCCCAGGTCCTGCTACTGTCTTTAACTTCGGTACCATCGTATATAAAAATATTTGCATATGTCAGTTTCTTTACATAGGCGCAGTAATCACTTTTGACGTTTTCTACTTTATTTGGCGGTAAGCAAAACATTAAATACTGAAAACCATTCAATCAATTACCATGCACCTTAGCTAGCCTCCTGCTTAATGGAATTTTTGGAACAGGTTCAATATTTGACGTTCCATAAACCGCAAAAGTAATTGCACCTGTTTGCCTACATATACAGTTACTGTACAGAAGAGTATAAAACAGTCGAATAGTTACCAAAAATGTATTTATTGAATTAGCCAGCCGGTCCATCTCAATTAACATTATTTAATCATTATCGAAGCAAGAAAAAAGAAAATCTACAAGCATCTGTTTGCACATACATACATATATAACTGTCTATACATATACAGATGCACACATAAGTATTGGCACAGCAGAATTTTCTACTTTTCCCTCACTTTGCGTACACTTTTGGTAACATAAAACACATACACTTTTGGTAACATAATTAGTGGAAATAAAAAAAATGGCAGAATTTCCTGTCTCAAAAGTATTTACATATTTGGTTTTTAAAAAATTAAATCAATTTCTTGTTGTTACCCATCTGTCAACGCCATTGGCAAGAACAGTGTTGCTGTATACCGTTATTGTAACTCATACAATTTTGTACATATTTGCATTTTGTCCTAAGCAATAAATCAAATCAATAAAATCTAAAGCAAACAAGTAAAAGGTTCTAGTCGGGAGCTGCCGACTAGGGGATACCCTGGACCCTCCTCTTCCAACATCAAATGCATATATATATTCTATTTTAGAAACTATATGTCAGGTTTGATGACTCTAGCTCTTTTTATTTACCAAAATTGCCCAAAAAACAGGATATCGATATCGATTGCTTGAAAACGGAGTAAGTTATCGATTATCGGAAACAATCTCGATCTGCGCGGGCACTAGGAGCACCCACATCTAAAATTTCAAGTCTCTAGCTCTTATATGTTCTGAGATACTTGCAGGCGTGGGCGAACTTGTATTCATAAATAGATAATAAACATAATAGTTTATTTAAATATATTCAAAGATAACCTCAAAAGCGCCGACCTAAACCTAAACTTGCCACATTTTACATTTTGGATAGTATATAACACGGTACATGTCTTGCGGTATCTGTCGCAATCTCCAGATCTAACCCAAATTAAAAATTTGTGGAAGGAAACGGACCATTTCGAAATGAATCTTAGAAGAATGAAGAGTGGCAAAATATCGGGGTGGAAACGACTAGAAAGCTGGTTTATTCCACGCCAAAATGTTTGCAGACATTATGTATACTAAGAGTTTGTTGAAAATTTAATCAAACGGTAACCTGCAGAGTAAACAAGAGACTATAGTCAGGTGTTCCCGACTAGGGGATATCCTGAAACCTCTTCTCCAGGCGTTACGAGCTCTTTTGCTTTAACATTAATTAAACTACATAAATATAAACAAGAGACTCTACTCGGGAGTTCCCGACTAGGCGATACCCTGAACCCTCTTCTACCAACACCAATTGCAATACCAACACCAATAAAAATAAATTTAAAAACTTTAACAAATTTTCAGCAGTAGATCATGTTGTGCTATAGAATATTTGTGTATTCTCAAAAACTAAATTGCAATGAAATTGTGGCTTAAATTGGTGGGTAGTTCATATTGGCTTAGTTATTTGATTTATAGCTATGAGGTGGTGGGGGGTGTCGATTGCAATAAAAATAAATATACTTGATATATGTATTTACTATTCAAAAATCTATGTCAAATTTGGTGACTCTACCCTCTTAAAATTTGATTTGCTCAAAATCAGGATTTCAAAATCGTTTCTTACCGATTGCTTGGAAACGGCAAGGTTTCAATTATCGAAAACAAACTCTTACTGCGCGGGCGCTAGGAGGACCTACGTTCGAAATTTGAAGTCTTCAGCTGTTATAGATTCTGATATCCTTGCATTCATACATACGAACATGTCTAGATCGACTCGGCTATTGTTGTATCAAGTATATAAATATTTTCTGGGATCGGAAATGCTTTCTATTGCCCGTTTACATACCTTTGCACAAGTAAATTATACCCATTTTAATAGGTTCAGAGTTTAACAAATAAAAGGCTCTAGTCGGGAGTTCCCGACAAGGGGATACCTCGAACCCTCTTTTACATCAAATGCAGCTCCTACGCTGCGAGCTCGTTGATTTAAGCAGTAATACAAATAAATTAATCGAGAAAGTTAGGTCATTTCCGGCACGTCGAAGATTTAACAATCTTGTAGACATTTCCCCTTTAAAGATGTGTGAGAATGGTGCAGCGAGAAAATGCTGAATTTGTTGAAAATATCTTAGAAAAAAAGTATATTTTGCCATACAAAATTATACTATTCAACAATCCTTCCTATAGCAGTTAGATGATATATATGTGCTAAGATCGAAAGTACATGTATATAGTATAGTATAAAACTTAGAAATACGAATTTGATTAAAATATATATCAACAATTTTTCCATACAAGTACTTATATTTCTACCTATCGTTACTATGGCAGTTATATGATATAGCTATCCGTTGTAAGGAAGATTTTGCAAATATGATAAGTGCATAGTTAAGCTTATAAATGCCGAGTTTGGGTAAGATAACTTGATAAACAATAAAATGTGTCACACAAGCACCTACTTTTGCACCGATAGTTCCTGTGGTATACGATAGAGTAATCCGATTCGGCCGGATCCGACAAAAAAAAAAAAAGAATGACCTGTGCAAAGTTTGAAGACGATAGCTAAGAGACTAATTGGAATATATATACTTCATGTGGTCGGAGATGTCTCCTACTATGCGTTACACATTTCATAACAAAATTAAAATGCTCTTTAAGGGTATAAAAAGATTGGGCTCGTAAGATATTTGGCGAAAAACACAAGTTATTTATAGGCGATTTAGCCTTCGACAACTGGTGTCGGAGATGCTGCCTTCCGCCTGCTGCATACATTTGGACAATACCATTATACCCTTTTTAAACCTTTTGCAGTGGGTTCAGGAAATAACAAGTAAGAGGTTCTAGTTGGGAGCTCCCGACTAGGGGATACCCTGAACCCTCTTCTTCCAACATCAAATGAATATATATATTCTATTTTAGAAGCTATATGTCAAGTTTGATGACTCTAGCTCTTATTATTTAACAAAATTGCCCAAAAAACAGGATATCAATATCGATTGCTTGGAAACGGAGTAAGTTATCGATTATCGGAAACAAACTCGATCTGCGCGGGCACTAGGAGCACCTACATCTAAAATTTCAAGTCTCTAGCTCTAATAGGTTCTGAGATCCCTGTGTTCATACATACGGACGGACGGACAGACAGGCGGACATGGCTAGACCGACTCGGCTATTGATGCTGATCAAGAATATATATACTTTATGGGGTCGAAGATACTTCCTTCTGCCTGTTACATACATTTAGATTTTACACAAATACAATATACCCTTATACCCATTTTTAATGGGTTCAGGGTATAAAAATACTATGTCTAGCTAAAACGAATATATATGTATATATATTTATATATATATATATATACTATAAATTTCGAAGTATGAAAGGCCTTTCTCGAGATATTCAATTTGTTTAGATTCTTATTTCACTTAGTAAGTATCCTTAGTTTGGTTCGGATATTGTTAAATCATTTTATTTGTGAGGCTATAAACATAAGCAATCATATAACTCAGTTATTTAAGTTCGAAACAGTGGTGCTTGATGATTTATAAACTTAGTTTTTAAACGAATGCCTCAAGAGGAACGGGCACATATAAAGATTCCTACTAAGCTTTTAAATACTTTCATTTAAAAAAATTTGAAAATTATTCAGACCGTCTGCGTTAAGTGACGTCCAATCATATGTTTTAGCCAGTAGAGTTCAATCAATAAATGGATTGCGAATTGATTTATCTCAGACTTGATTATGAGATCAAGAGGCCATTAATCACCTGACAATAAAGTTTTACATATAACATTGATTGAGAAGTTATAATCACTTAAAAAAGAATTTTCTAGAATTCGGTTGATTGTGTCCACCGCGGGTTTCCCTGGTATACATTTCATTATACAATAGACGTTATTGATACGAGTATCTGATGATCTATAACTTTATTGTTGCGTGAAAAAAAAAATAGAAAAATGTTATCGCATCATTTGTTCCGTCAAAATATATATATACAAAATTCATATACTAGAACAATATTTATCGAAATTCATAAGAATATTTGAATATGTTGCAATAAAGAGATAGGTCAATTGCGTTGATCCATAGACAAAATAATAAATATATATATACATACAAAATTCATATAGTAGTACATTGCTTATCGAAATTCATTATAATATTTTCATAACATATGTTGCAATAAAGTGGGTACTCTTAAGAGATAAGTCAGTTGCGACGAACCGTATACAATTCTTTCAAGCCAAAATAGCTTTGAAATTAGAAAATAATTAACTTATATATTAAATAGTTACAGCACTAATCATTCTTATATAGCACTTTTCACTCTGCTGAATAACTAAACTTACATTTTACTATACAAAAAAATACACAAGGTTACAATGGCTGCTGGTCTATTGGAGTTAAACACACCTACTTGCGTTTAAACATGTTACTGAGGCGTCGCTTGGGAGGCGAGTTCTGAAAAAGGACAACGGAAGTTGTTTGTATTAAAAGAATTAGTTGAAATCAATCTTTAATTTTGAAAGATATTTGATGTGTTGTTTTAAGACGCGCTGCCTGCTGTCAAGTTACTTTATATCTTCTAACTATTTTTTCTTTGTAAAAGCAGTCAGTGAACAAGAGCAACAAATCCACGTTTCGCCGAATTCTGTCGCTTAAGCGCCTCATGATGGTCAGCCAGCCCCTTCAGCAGTGGCTTGTTACATTTTAATTGTTATTATTAATTTTTTCCAGCGCAATACGGTGCATTACCATCCTTTGCCTATTTTTCTTTAGACTGTGATTCAGAAAAATGCCTCCACTGATCAAAACATCGTTCACGTTGTTGTTTTATTTTGCTTCGTTGCTGCATGCGCTTATATTCCGTCGTTGTACCATGCAAGCAAAAAGACGAGCGTGCAGTGTCTGTCTGCTTGCATCCACTTAATAAAATTTGACTAACGGATGCTAGACTGATAGTCGAGCTAGTTGTCGTCACTGACTGGCTACGACAAATTTTCGGCGCACTGTCCTGGCCATTATTCATGGCTAATAACACAGTGTTAGAAAAATGCTGTATCTTGCCCGGCGGATGATGCTCTTGGACCTTTGATGCCGCATCCCATTGCGCGATCACTTGCTGGTGATCAAAGTAGGAGCAGCTCTTACGTGGAGTTGCACTGAAAAAAGATTTCGCTGGTCGCATCTCCGGAATGCGGCGGTGCATACCTGTAAACAAATTTTTTTTACGTTGACGTCGACGTCGTTGCTGTAAAAGGAGTAATTATTTGTTTAATGGACCATTGCGGTACGAGTACACAACATAACGAGGACGAAGATGACAGACATGACGGCAGGCAGTAAACACAGGGAATATTCTACAAGCTAAACAAAAAAAAAAAAGAGACGGCAAGAACACAAATATGATTCAGTTGCATTTTACCTCGACGCTTGACAGACAATGTCCCCCGCCACCGATACCACTGGAACCAATGCTAAAACGTGATGCAAAGATCTTGAAGCGGGCGGGGGTCTTAGCAATACCATTATTGTCAGAAGTCTCCCGTAATATTTCCCGCGGCGGTTCCATACTGCCAAACGACAAGCGGCCGCCATTTTTACTGGGTGTTGGCGGACCCGGGCGCTTGTAGTGAGTACCCATCGACTTTTTACGCGTTCCGGCACCGTTGCCTTCCGTAGTACTTAATAATGCACTCATGCTGTCGTCTAGGCTAAGTGGACCGTTCTGTCGAAGGTAACAAACATTGTAATAATCGAAATTTAACAAATAATGAATAAACACTATACAGACAAGAAAAACGACAAACACAACCCAGAGCAAGTAAGACCAAGCGCTATGTTGCCATTACAAACATACCAAAGATCATAATAAATCTCATAAAAGAATTGAAATATGCTGGATCTATGTACACGAGAGTTAAATTTGTTGCATTTAGCCTTAACAACTCCAAGATGTGCTCAATAATCAACGCGCTCGTTTGAAGTAATAAAGAAAATAAAAACAAGTAAGAGGTTCTAGTCGGGAGCTCCCGGCTAGGGGATACCCTGAACCCTCTTATTCCAACACCAAATAAATTAATAAAATAAAGTTCCCTTGGCAGTGCTCGAATTTGCAACTGACCGCATTACTTACTGTCGACTCTACTTAACAGCGACACCAGCATAAAAAACAAGCGTTAAATTGAACAACACAACAACAATTCAACTTGAATAAATATAAACAAACCAAGTAAGAGGTTCTAGTCGGGATCTCCCGACTAGGGGATACCCTGAACCCCCTTCTTCTAACTTCAAATGTATATATATATTATATTTTAGAAGCTATATGTCAAGTTTGGTGACTCTAGCTCTTATTATTTACCAAAATTTCCCAAAAAACAGGATATCGATATAGATTTTTATCGATTGCTTGGAAACGGAGTAAGTTATCGATTATCGGAAACAAACTCGACCGTGCGCGGGAACTATGGGCATCTACATCTAAAATTTCAAGTCTCTAGCTCTTATGGGTTCTCACATCCTTGCGTTCATACATACGGACGGACGGACGGACGGACGGACGGCCGGACAGACAGACGGACATGGCTAGATCGACTCGGCTATTGATGCTGATCAAGAATATATACACTTTATGGGGTCGGAGATGCTTCCTTCTGCCTGTTACATACATTTGGATTTTGCACAAATACAATATACCCTTGTACCCATTTTTAATGGGTTCAGGGTATAAAAATAATAATACTTTCCCCGGTACGGCTCGAACTCGCAACAGATCGCACCACTTGCTATGCCTCTACTCAGCAGCCACACCCACAATGCAGTACTTATGATAAAAAAGGAACTTAAATAACATTACAACAAGTAAGAGGTTCTAGTCGGGAGCTCCCGACTAGGGGATACCCTGAACCCTCTTCTTCCAACATCAAATGCATATATATATTCTATTTTAGAAGCTATGTCAAGTTTGGTGACTTGCCCAAAAAACAGGATATCGATAACGATTTTTATCGATTGCTTGGAAACGGAGTAAGTTATCGATTATCGGAAACAAACTCGATCTGCGCGGGAATTAGGAGCATCTACATCTAAAATGGTTCTGAGATCCCTGTGTTCATACATACGGACAGGCGGACGAGCTGACAGACGGACATGGCTACATCAACTCAGCTATTGACGTTGATCAAGAATATATATACCTTATGAGTTGCTTCCTTCTGCCTGTTAAACACATTTACATTTACACAAAAATATTATATTATACATTTTCAATGGGTTCAGGGTATTAAAATAGTCCCCCACTCGGACTCGAACCTGAAGCAACTGCACTACTTTCAACCTCCTCTACTCAATAGCCAAATCAACAATTCACTTCGAATAAGAAACGAATTAAAAAAGCAACACATAGACACAGCTCAGAAAACAATACAACCGCAATTGCAATGCTGTTGATAGAATTCAATAAAAACACGCATGAATGTGTGTGTTCATGTACACAGAAATTCTTGCAATTCGAGCTAACTGCCTCATACTCGTGGCCAGGCACGATTTTCACGTTTTTTTAAGATCATCTGTATTTCTTAACCCTCTTGGTGAAATTTTCAACAGTAGATCCTTTTGTGCTATAGAATATTTTTACATTCTCAAAAAGTCAATTGTATTCAAATTGTGGATTAAATAAGTTGGCAGTTCAAATTAGTTTATTTATTTAATTTGTAGCTTTAAGGTGGTAGCGGGCAGGTGGAGATAGCTTTAAAAGATATTTAATATATATAAACTATTTAAGAAGCTACATGCTAAATTTGGTGACTAGCTTTTAGATCCTAAGAGATTTGCCATACTCGCCCGACAGACAAGGCTCGATCGGTTGTTGGTTACTTTAAGGGGTCAGAGATGCTTCCTTCTGCCTGATACATACATTTGTACAAATACATTACACCTTTTTATATAAAAAAGAGTAACCTACGCTTAAAGTTCCAAGTGTAGCTTTTAACGCTTCTGAGATCGACTCGTTTATGCCGTCGGGCATGGTTTAATATATTGTTTATTGGTCAAGAACATATACCCCAGCCTATAATAATAGAAAATAAATACTTTAAATTTTAGATGTATAGCTCCTTTACTTTCTGATATTATCATTTGACTCTGCTGGTCCCTGAATAAGAATATATGCTCTTCAATGAGCAGAGATTCCTCATAAATACATTTGAACAATACCATTACAATCTTTTTACCCATGTTCAATAGGTTCAGGGTATAAGATGCATGACATTTTATGGAACAAAACTTATTTGGCGCTTGGTCTTGGTGGTCATGGATGTCAATACTTACTTTGAAATCGTCATCATGGGCGTCCAAGTTATACTGCGCTGCGTAGGCGCTCTTTAAATGTGGTGGTTGCAACGAATTGCGGTGATGCAATTCTTTAGCGCTTTAGGTGAAAGCAAATTTTGCAAATATTAACGGTCAATAGTTTTTAAAATTATGTAATTAACGTACGTCATGTTCGGCACACTACCCAGCTTCAGATCTGTAAGGTAAGTGTTATTAAACACCTCACCCTCTTCATCTTCCATTGCCAAATTGCTGCCAAGATTGGTAGGTGGCCCACGAGGTCGCTTAAAGGGTTGCCATTCATCACTAGCCGCCAAAGCAGTCGTTGCCTGGTCGGCTTCCTGACGGTGCCGCAGCTTGGTACTGAGAATGGTAAGCTGCTTTTGCTGCTCTAAAATCTTTTCATTAAGGCGCACAATCTGATTAGATAGCTTTTGAGTATGCTCCTCATACTTAGCACTCTGTAAAGTGGACAGTATTTTTTTTTTTAATTATAAAATTTCGACACTTTAAAATAATTTTTTTTTACAAGCTACTAAGTGATCAGTCACTCCAAAAAAATTTTTTTGTATATTTATTTAAGACACAGTTTTATATACTCAGTTTGTTAAATTATATGCTCCTTACCTGAACACTGAATTTTTCCATTTTAACCTTATTAGTGGCCGCATCGCGCTCCTGCTTCTCCTTAATACGGGTAACTTCCGCCGTGTACAATGCGCGCTATATGTTTCAGGTTATGTGGATTGGGACATAACAGCATAGTAGGGTTAGTGGTGAGCAGTAAGAGTGAGTTATAAGTAAAAGCAAAGGGCAAACCACATCGAGCACAAAAGTACACGAAAACGATACTAACATCGTTAACTATCCAATATTAGTTAACGCCATCTTGTCACAGCACTAACATTGTAATTTATAAATTTATTGAGCACCAAGTTCTCACGCTTGACTTTAATGCATTATAATATTAAAATATTTAAGCTATAAATATACGCAAACATTCGATTTACAGTTAAAAGGAGATTGGCTCTAGCGCTTTTTCACTTAAAATTCAATTGGTTTTCGAGATATTAAATTAATAACAACATTGTTGCTCAAAAGTGTCATATAGATTGCCCCTAGGAACAGCACCAACATGATTAATAATTTAAGAAATATAATGGAACAGCGCCCAACACTACGCAAACTAGCAGTTCCTTTTGAAGAAATTAATGTTTCTTTTGTATGTGTTTGTGTGGGTTTCTCATATTTTCTTTGCTTATGCAAATCGAACGGTACAAGACTTTTCGACTTGTATTTTTAGGAATTTGTGTTTTTTGATCACGTTAGTGTGCGAAGTAAGCGGTAGAGAAAGTAGGTGATATAGTTGGTGGTGTATGAAAAGAAGAGGAATCAAATAAAATTTGTTGTAAATTCCATATGGTTAAAATCAAATTAATTTACTTATTTGGTTATTTAATACATATGTGTAGAAAAACAGAGGAAGCATCGCATAAAAATCACAGTTGATGATTGCAGAAACATTAGAAGAAGCACTAGTAACACAGACACATACATCAGAACAGAAGAAGTAAGCATGCTGTATCCCTTATTCAATATAATGTTTTGGTTTTAAGCACCACGCTTCGAATTCTACAAATCATATTATATAATATATGCGGTACAGAAGAGCTGGATATCTAAGGTTATTTGATAAGAGCTAGCGTCACCAATTTGATATGCAAATTTGCGTATAGTATATGCTATCGCCTCATTCCTATGAACCAAATAAATACAAATTCCAATTGGATGCACACAACAATTTTAATTTTTATTAGGGCTGTTGACTTTTTGCGAATATTCGATTATTCCCCGGTACAATAAGATTTACTGTGACAAATGCCATTCAGTTTTGATAAGAAACATAAAAATCATTTAAGAAAATTTATGGTCATGGCTACCGCAAAGTGCTAGAGATTTTGCACTCACATTCATATACATTCTTTTCAAATTTTTTTTTTTTTTTATTTTCTCGGTCATTGATCCACAAACATCAAAGTTATTAAAGAAACCGCCATATCACGTGGTAGCTTTCACAAAGCGCCATACTTTGTGTATTCATGTGTCACACATATTCAGAAGTTTATATATAAAATTTCAATTTCGATTGTATTGTATGATGTGCTGGATGTATTTGTTATACATATGTGCTTGTATTTGGTTTACTTTGTGGATAATTTGTTTTCCATTAACTTTTTGGTATGGCTGCAAGGTATGAAGCGATCGCAAGTTGGAGCAGGCTGTGGGAACTGGTTATATTTTTTTTTTACAAAACGAACGAGCACGTAGAAATTGGGATATGTTTTCATTTTATGTCTTGTTTAATTGAAAATGTCTTTCAGTATTAGATTTCTGTTCTAAATTCCTTTCTTTACCATTCACACCAAAATTGAAAGAAACAATTCGTTTGCACACATTTAATGGAAATAAGACAACAAACAGATGTTATTCAACATTAAATTTCCAATAGTTTTCCGCAGGTGTCCCTATGTAAGTTGCGTTGTTGTCCCCACATATGTTTGTATGTTGTGCGTAAATTCAACTCTAAGTACCTGGAAATCATATTGGGCTACATTTTCTGATTTGAAGAGTTCGGCAGTATACAAAGAATGTTGAGAATGAGTGACCCAACAGTCACACAATAGTTAAACAAGAAACTAAAAACAAATTATGAAACAACTTTCCACAGAAACTTACATAAAATCTTCTAAATAGACAGAAATAACGATAATAAGAAAAGAGATACTGCACGCCGACGATTTAATAGCCTCAGAGGCTTTGCAGGTATATGAGAATGTATGTATGAATGTAAATATCTTAGAAAGCAAAAATATTTTGCAATACAAAGCCCATTTTTCATGCGATCCCTGCTATATATATCCTTATGCTATATAATATTGAAATTGAAATCTTGATAAACAAACAAGTAAGAGGCTATAACCGGGAGCTTCCGACTAGCGGAATATCAAATGCAGCTCACGCTAAGCTCTCGTTTGCTTTAGCATTGACAAAATAAATTAAAACAAGTAAGAGGTTCTAGTCGGGAGCTCCCGACTAGGGAATAACCTGAAGCCTCTTATTCCAACACCAAATGCAGTTGTTGCATTGATGTTTTCGCTAGCTGCCCATCCTATTGCGCAGTTACATATAACTTAACCGAACTTAATGAAATTTTCTACAGTATATCTTATTGTAGCATAGAATTTTTGTGTATTCTCAAAAAGTCAATTGCATTTAAATTGTGGCTTAAGTTGGTGGGCAATATAAGTTGGGTTATTAACTTGATTTATAGCTATGAGGTGTTAGTGGGGAGGTGGCAATAGGTATAAATGAAATATACTTGACATATATATAATATTCTAGATGCAACATATCATGTTTGGTGACTCTACTCTACTCAACAGCCACACCAGCAAAAAAAAAAAAAAATACTTTCCCCGGTAGGGCTCGAGCTCGCGACAGACCGCTCCACTTGCTATGCCTCTACTCAACAGCCACACCAATAATTAAATACCTATGATAAAATAAGGAACTAAAATAACATTACAGCAAAAGTCGCAATTATCATGTTGTTAGAATGCGAAGCAGGCGCGCATGAATGTGTGTGTGTACATGTATACAGAAATTCTTAAACCTGCTGCCCCATCCAATTGCACAGTTGCATATAACTTTGTTTTTTTCTTATCCGATCTGTATGAAATTTTCTACAGTATATCTTATTGTACCATAGGATATTTGTGTATTGTAAAAAAGTCAATTGCATTTAAATTGTGGCTTAAATTGGTTGGCAATAAAAGTTGGGTTAATAACTTGATTTATAGCTCAGCAATGGTAGTGGGGAGGTGGCGATAGGTATAAAATGAAAGATACTTGACATTTTTGGTGAACTAAGCTCATATTATTTACCCAATTCGCTCAAAAAACAGGATGTCGATATCGATGTATATCTATGTATGTGGTGGTAGCGGGGAGGTGGCAATAGCCATAAAATGAAACACACTTGTTATACTATATTCTTACGAGATTTGCTCAACAAACTAGATTTCGATATCGATTTTTATCGATTACTTGGAAACGGTCACGCTATGGATTATCAGAAACAAACTCGTAATACGCGAGCACTAGAAGGACCTACGTTGCAAATTTATAGCTCATAGATTCTGAGATCCTTGAGTTCATAAATACGGACAGACGGACATGGCTAGATCGACACGTCTATTGATGCTGAAAATATATAATTTATGTGGTCGGAGATGCTTCCTTTTGCCTGTTACATACATTTGCACAAATATATATTACCCCTTTCAACCATTTTTAATGGGTGCAGTTCAATTACTGATAGAATTACTGCCATAGAATACGCGTTGGCAACCAAGATAAAGGCAATGTACATGCAAGTGCTGTTAGGCAACAGAACGGAATAAATACTAAGTATTGCACTCAAAGTTGACTTACCATTTTTGTTTTCATCTTTTCTAATTTCCCCTCCATCTCAAGACGCTGATCCTTGAGCTTTTGCTCACAGCGATTAATTTCTTCCTTTGTTTCGCGATACTTTGCCTGCAATATCTGACAATCGATCTCACGCTGGTGTGCTTTAGCTCGGTGTTGCTCAAGTTGTTCCTGCATTTCCTGCATTTGTGGTTGGTTAGAATTATAACTCTCCAAAGTTTCTATCAGCCTATCCTGGCTTTTATGTGAATCGCTAGCTTCATCATTGCTGTTTTCTGGCTCATCTTTTGGTATATTAAGTTTGCGCTGATAATAAGTCTCACGGCCTATCGAATTCTTGTTCTCCAATTTAGGTTGCTCTATCTTATCATTTGGTTGATACTGTATCGATTCATGTAGGAGCCGTGTCCGATCGAGTTCCTGCTCTTGAGCATTGCAAGCGTTCTTTTCATTGGTTTGCATTGAGCTACGCATTTCATCAATTGTCTCGTTTGCTTGTTGTAATTGAGCACTTAAATCTGCTATACGTTTTTGCTGATGCACAATCTCCGAGTTGAGGCCGCCCATTTCAAGAATCAGGCTCACTTTTTCCTTCTCGACGTCATTCACCTGCAGCTGTAAATCCTGTATTATGGTGCTGTTTGTTTTTTTACAATCTCTCTCCAGCTTTATAGTTCGTCCATAAGTTGCAGTTTGTGCAGCCTCCGCAAAAACACGTTGATATGCCAAGCTAGCCTGCTTTTCCTCTAAACGATTTGCACGCTCCTTGTTCTTTTGCAATTCCAACTGCAGACTCTCCTTGTCATGTTGCAACGCTTTGATAAGCTCTGCTTGTTCTTTCTGTGCCAGTTTGAACTGAGTTACTTCGCGTTGCGTTTTAGATAAAAGTGCCTGGTGTTCCCCTAGTTTAATGGCAACTTTCTCCAAGCGCTTTGTACTTGATTCCAGCTGCACTTTGCTCTTCTCTAATTCCTCCTCCCTTTTTTCAAGCATGTACTGAATCGCTTTAAAATCCTTTTCGACAATACGTGTGTGCTCCATTTGCTGTAATTGCTCTTGTTTTAAACTTAAATTTGCATGCTGTTCTTCCTTTATCGCATCCTGTAGTTTGTTGATATGTATAAGCAAGGATTCTTGCTTATGCAACTGTGCCTCTGCCGTTTTTACCTGCTGTTCCGCTACTTCCAGCTTATACTGCAAAGCATTAAGTTCCCGTTGCTGTTTGTCTAACTGCTGTCTTTGTATCATAATCTGATCTTGGTGCGACTGGCTGGTGGACTCGCCCTTTTGCAGCAGCTCCGTTTGTTCCATTAATTTCTGTTCCAGCTGTTTTTGCTTCTTATGGGATGCCATCAGCTCCTGTTCAACGTGTGCCTTCTCTAGCGTCTGATTGTAACGTTCATGTCGCTCATCTTCCAGTTGTTGCATAAGCTGCGTTTGATCTATACTCTGCAGCTTTGCTTTTTCAGTTATAGTTTTTAGTTCTTGCTCAAACTGAAATTGATTTGTATTTGCAGCATTATGCTGTTGCTTGGGAAGATTTTGAATCGACACATTCATTTGATACCTGCTGGATTGTAAGCGGCAGTGTTGATTCAGTAAATTTTCAGACTTCTTATCCTTATCCTGGTTGCATATTCTTGTCAGCAAACATATCAACATATTTTTCATATATACCAGACAACTTTCGCTGGTAGCGGATGAAGTTGTATTCTGATTAAATTTAGCGCCTACCATGTCTATTAAGTACTGTAGCTGCTCTTTAATGTCGTTTAGATGCTGCCGCTGCTCAAATAATTGATCTTTCTGAGAATTAATGACTACTTCTTGCGAGTTTAACTTGGGTCGTTGACTGAATGAGTATTCTCTTTCGCCGGTGATTTGTTCTTCTAGGATACGAGTTTGACTGCATCGTTGAATTAATTCGCAGCCCACCTGCGCAAGTTGCTCATCTTTTTTTTCAAGTTCCTGGCAAATGTTAGCAAAGTGCCCAATTTCCTTGTCGCGTTTCTGCAGCTTGTCAATACTAGATAGCAGAGTTAACTGAGTCTCTTCTAACACGCGATCAAATTTTTCCGCTTTGTTTTTTATTTGCTCTTGAATGTACTCTGCATACTGCATATTTTGCTGCTTTAGTGTGTAGTACTGAACCTGCAGTTCTCTTACACGTTGCAGCTCTTGCTCATAGTGGACGGACAACTGGTCTACTTCTGGCTCATTTAAGCACACAAGTTGTGAAACATCAGGTGCCGCTGGCATCTCCATTTGAAAGGGTTTCATGATCTTTAACAGTTTCCACAGTAAATTTGATTTTTCTTCCACGATGGCTGTTAAATGCTTACGCAGCTCGTCATTTTCCTCTTCCTTTTCACGCAATTGTTTATCTATAACGGAGCAAGCCAAATTTTCTGGTGTTGTATTCATGCTATCGGCCGACTGCGAAGTTTCCAGGAAATCCAAGGAGGCGTTTAGAACTTCACGACCATTATGTAGCTCGGCACGTGTCTCTTGCAGACACTGCTGCAGCTCCAATTTGTCACGCTGTAGACAAGCAATATTATCGTCTTTGTCGGTCAGTAACTGCGACATATTCTCCAATTGCCGCTCCAGGTCGCCTATTCGGTCTATACAAAAAAGCACGTGGTCCTCTGACATTTTAAGCTGTTGATAAAAAAGTCGTAAGAGAAGGAATTCCAACGAATGTTTCAAACAAAAAAACAAAAAAAAAAAACAAACTAGAGTGCTCTAGTCGGGAGTGCCCGACTAGGGGAAACGCTCGCTCAGTGCCCAATGTCGATATGGCTCTTTCTAATTCCTTACAGCCCATAGACTAGTTTGGTCTGTGGTTTTTCGGCATGGGTGGGTCTACGGCGACAAAAAAAAACAAGAGGTTCTAGTCGGGAGCTCCCGACTAGGGGATACCCTGAACCCTCTTATTCCAACACCAAATTAAATAATAAAAAAAGTTCCCTTGGCAGGGAACTCGAACTCGCGACAGACCGCTTCACTTGCTATTCCTCTACTCAGCAGCCACACCAACAATTAAGTACTTATGATAAAAAAGGAACTAAAATAACATTACAAAAAATAGATGCAATTACCATGCTATTAGAATGCGAAGCAGGCGCGCATGAATGTGTGTGTGTACATGTATACAGAAATTCTTAAAGCTGCTGCCCCATTCAATTGCACAGTTGCATATAATTTTGGTTTTTCTCAACCGATCTTTATGAAATTTTCTACAGTATATCTTATTGTACCATAGAATATTTGTGTATTCTGAAAAAGTTAATTGCATTTAAATTGTGGTTTAAATTGGTTGGCAATAAAAGTTGGGTTATTAGCTTGATTTATAGCTCTGCGGTGGTAGCGGGGAGGTGGCGATAGGTATGGAATGAAAGATACTTGAAATATCTATAATATTCTAGAAGCAACATATCATGTTTAATGGCTCTAGCTCTTATTATATACCCAATTTGCTAAAAACACAGGATGTCGATATCGATTTTTATCGATTGCTCTCAAACGGAGTAAGTTATCGATTATCGAAAACAAACTCGATCTGCGCGGAAACTAGGAGCATCTACATCTAAAATTTCAAGTCTCTAGCTCTTCTAGGTTCTGAGATCCTTGCGTTCATACATACGGACGGACGGACGGACAGACAGACGGACATGGCTAGATCGACTCGGCTATTGGTGCTGATCAAGAATATATATAGTTTATGGGGTCGGAGATGCTTCCTTCTGCCTGTTACATACATTTGGATTTTGCACAAATACAATATACCCCTATACCCATTTTTAATGGGTTCAGGGTAAAAAAACATCATAGAGCTGTCAACAGGCAACGAACACTGGTAAGCCGCGGTTGTTGTTCATTTCCATATGGATACGAACGTATGCTTGACATTCTGTTCGTTAACTGACCCTCGTATAACCTCGTATAACTTTAACGCAAAATTTTTATAATAGCAATATAATAATATTATTTTCAGAAAAATAGTTTATGGTTTTTTTTTTGCCAAAAAAAAAGTTTCCTCGACAGCTAACGCAAATTCCAAGTATTTCTGTATACATGTACCCACACACATTCATGCGCGTCTGGTGCGAATTCTATCAACAGAATTGCAATTGCAATATTATTGTTTTCTGTGCTGCTATTTTAATTCGTTTTTTCCCCATTAAAAGTTAATAATTGGGTAGAGGAGGCTACAAGTAGCGCGGTCTGTTGCGAGTTCGAACCCTACCGAGGAAACTATTTTCTTTTTTGGGCTGTGCCAAGGGAAAATTTTTCTTTGTTTTTTATTTGTATTATTAGAAGTGTACTTAAAGGTATCCCCTAGTCGGGAGCTCCCGACTAGAAACTTTAGTTATTTAATAAAAACTTTAAATGACATAAGTGAAATATTTATATTTTTTGTTTTCATTTTTTTTTTTTTTTGTTTACGGCGGGGACATATGTATCTTGCTTAAAATAAAAAAAAATCGAAGTTTTATTTCTGCAAGGGTAATTGATCGTCGGTTTGTCGACATGTATGTATGCAAATTTTTGGGCCGGCCAAGCATTTACACTTACACAATTTTGTATGTGAAGTTTTTGGGATATCTGAATTTCGAGCTCTGCACACACGATCTACTCATTTACACACATTTGTGTGTGTAGACCTCGAACTTCAGAAATCCCAAAAATTTGCATTGGACAGGCAGGGAGGATGAAATGCACACAACTGTGCAAAAATCGAGGCACATTCTGCGCATGCATACACACATATGTTTTTGGACTGTAAGGATTTGAAACTAACATATGCACATATATTAAGAAAAAGCATCGTTCGGCTGCCACTCTCAGCAGTCTTACTCTCTCTGGGCATAACAAAATGGTCGCGAGCACTCATGGGGATCACTGGCATAAAATATTCTTGTTTCGATTATTTTGCAGTTTGACGTATGTATTAATTGTATGGGTTTTGGTAAAAGGTTGTAAAAAATTGCAGAAAATTGGCCTCTGCGCGTGTTGTCAGGCGTATCATTAGCTGACACCAAACTACGTAATCGGGCGGACTTCAACTTTGTCATGCGATTAATCTAACATATACTAAACCAAAACAATGAAGGATGAAAGAAAAAGTGGTTGCAAGCGTATTGTTAAATCATGCTTCTGCAGCTATTGGGGACGGGGATGCTGTGAAATTGTTCAAGATTCCTTAAAATAATTGCTTTGGTCACCAATGGATTACTAATTGTAAATTACCTGGCAAAACAAAAATTGACAAAAATCTGCGATAAACATTTTGAAAAAGTTTTTGAGCAAACAAAAATAATATAAAACAAGTAAGAGGTTCTAGTCGGGAGCTCCCGACTAGGGAATACCCAGAAACCTCTTCTTCCAACATCAGCATCAAATGCATATATATATTCTATTTTAGAAGCTATATGTCAAGTTTAGTGACTCTAGCTCTTATTATTTACCAAAATTGCCCAAAAACAGGATATCGATATCGATTTTATCGATTGGTTGGAAACGGAGTAAGTTATCGATTATCGGAAACAAACTCGATCTGCGCGGGAGCTAGGAGCATCTATATCTAAAATTTCAAGACTCTAGCTCTTCTAGGTTCTGAGATCCTTGCGTTCATACATACGGACGGACGGGCGGACGGACAGACAGACGGACATGGCTAGATCGACTCGGCTATTGGTACTGATCAAGAATATATGTACTTTATGGCGTCGGAGATGCTTCCTTCTGCCTGTTACATACATTTGGATTTTGCACAAATACAATATACCCTTATACCCATTTTTAATGGGTTCAGGGTATAAAAAACGAGAACGAAGGGCTAATAATACCCTTGCAGGCCCAACCTTTTCATAATGCTCATAGTGTTGCCCGTATCTAAGCACAGGGAATATAGCTTATGTCGAGTATGGTTAGAATTTCTAGAAAAAAACAGAAAAGGTTTTCCCACATCTTAATTTTCGCCCGATCGTTCCTATGGCAGCTATATGATATAGTCGTCCGATGTTGATTGGAGTTTGTATACAGATGTTGAGCACAGTAAAATTAATAAATGGCAAATTTGGCTAAAATAGATAAACAAAAATGTTGTTCATACAAGTACCTACTTTTCGACCGATCGCTTTTATGACAGCATATGATATATTATAGTGATCCGATCAAGCTGGTTGCGACATATGTACTGCGTTCAAAAGAAAAAAAAACATTTCTGCAAAGTTTCGTAACGATAGCTTTAAGCCTGAGTTCGCAAAGAAACAGACAGACATGGCTATATTTTTATGAATAATTTATGGGGTCGGAGATATCTCCTTCTTCTTCAAAATTATAATACCCTCTGCAAGGGTATAAAAAGAAAGCAGGGAAATAAAAACTTATATTTGCAATACTTGATAAGAAACTATTCTTATCTAACATTTCAAACTCAGTTTGTAAAATTTTTCTTAAAATAAGAAATCTTGGCGAGGGGCAAAAGAAGATTGTAAATGAGCATTTGTTTTTATTCTTCACAAAAGATACGATTTTATGCGAATCAATCTGCATCTTACTCCTAAAATGCTTGGTTCTTGGCTTAAATTAAATAAACACATCGGTGAATACTGAAGTAAGCAAGCTGTATAATTATTTGTTGACATATCCATTAAGAAAGGCCAGCAATAAAATTCACGTTGGGATGAAATTGAAAAGTTTACGGACGATGGTTTAGAAAAAACTCGTGTGTTGTGTAAGCCAATTTCAATTTTAATGGTAAGAGGTCCTTATGACAAGTAGAAATATGTTGTAAGTTATTTCGCTATGTCCACTGGTCTATTCGGTTTAAAGTTAAAACGCATTTCGTTTCAGCATGATGTACTGGTTTTGTAGAAGGAGTTGTACAACTTGTCTAAATGGTGTAGACATAATCAGTTACCATTGAACGTAGCTAAATGCTATCACATCACATTAAGCAAAAGTTTCTAGGAAAGAACCTTCTTTCATCCTATTCCATTATTGAGTAAGAGCTTATTCGTAAATCTGAATCTTTAGACTAATGGAGTTAATGTCGACTCTAAGTTCTTATTCATTTAGCATATCAACTATATTATGCCTATGCGTATGCGTATGCGAAATTTGGGTTTGTTAGGCGAAACTCTACCCAGTTTAAAGACCCGTTCACAGGACTTTTTTTTAGAGAATGCCTCTTATATCTGAAGCCCATCTACAATTGTGAGTGCAAATATGATTGAATGGCTGCAAAAACAGTTTTTAAAATGTAACTTACAATGCCTTAACTTTGCAGACCCTTTACCGCCTTACATAACTAGGTGTCGATTATTACAGTAATCATCTCTGGAAGATAGAAGAGTGATAGCAGCGCTGCTTTTTTTTTAACAATTTAGTTGTAGGAATTATTTACTGTCTGGCCCTTCTAGCACGCATTAACTTTAATTTGCCGAGCAGATCTTTGCGATACCATTTGCCGTTTTCTGTGAAGACCAATAGAAATGCTTATGCAAGCAACGAACATTTATATCAATCTTCCAACTGAAATGCATTGCGATTTTTCTGCCAATAGTGCTAAACATACGCTTAAAGAATTCTTTCTTTAAAGATAATTAATTTACATTTTCTTTAAGTTTCATGTTTTCCGTTTATTTATATTTATTATAGGTAATATTATTTTAAGATAACCTGAAAGCTACCTGCATTAGTTACTAAATAAATTAATAAACTAACTAACTTAAGAGCCCCCATTCTTAAGGCCTTAATATAAGAGCAATTGCTTGTGACCGGGGCTCAAATAACCGGGAGGATTCTATAAAATATTGTATCAATAAAGAAGCGCCACATTTAACCGTCGATGAGTAACAAATTTATGAAATATAAGATGTGCCTCATTTGTATTTTTCGCAACCATTTAATACTGAACTTTATTGAATACTAAGAGGATTTTGCATATATATGAGAAGCATAGTAAAACTAATAAATGCCGAGTTTTGTCAAGATATCTTGAAAAACAAAATGTTTTTTCATACAAAAACTGAATTTTCGACCGATCGTTCCTATGGCAGCTATATGATATCGTGGTCCGATCTTAATAGGATTTTGCATATATATGAGGAGTAAAGTAAATCTAATAAGTGCCGAGTTTGGTCAAGATATCTTGATAAACAAAATGTTCTTTCATACAAAAACTTAATTTTCGACCGATCGTTCCTATGGCAGCTATATGATATAGTGGTCCGATCCAATGGTTTTCACATATGAGCTGCGTGCAACAGAAAGAGGGACTTCTGCTAAATTTCATTAAGATAGCTTTAAAACTGAGACTAGTTCGCATAGAAACAGACAGACGGACATGGCTCTATCGACTCGGCTGTTGATGCTGATCAAGAATATATATATTTTATGGGGTCGGGGATGTCTCCTTCTATGCGTTACACATTTCACGACAAAATTATAATGCCCTCTGCAAGGGTATAAAAATAAAACTAATTGAAATACATAGCAGCACATACACACAGCACTAAATACAACAGAATCGCAATTACAATGCTGTGGATAGAATTCCAAAAAAAAACCCATACGCTAAATTCCGCAAACACATTTTCTTTAATAACTTCTGTTTTTCATAACCGATCCTGAATTTTCAACAGAAGATTTTATTGTTTTATAAAATAATTGCATATTCTCAAAATGACAATCGCATTCTAATTGTGGCTTAAATGTGGTTGCTTAAATTGGTTTATTTATTGGGGTCATAGCTATAGGGTGGTGGCACTTGCTATAAAATGAAAGGTACTAGATATATGTATTCTATTCAAATAATACAAATTAATATTAGGAAAGAGAGCAGTAATAAGCTTCTTAGCCAGCGTTTACGCAGTTTGGTCATTTTACCACAACCGAGACAATTCGGCCATTGAGTATATTAGGAACTCCTAAACAGGCAGAAGAAGAATCATGGTAAGATTTCAGTGGTCAAGACAGTTTTTATTTTTACAATTCCACTTGAAATGGATTACCAAACAATATTTTTTTATGGTAGCGTCGGTAGGGGAGGGGGTGTTTTGTAAATGCGAGGTGGCGAATAGAGCGGCTTTGTATACATATATTCTAGTTGGTGCGAATTATACAAAAACGCTAGAACGCAAGTACGTGATATACGATAACAATACAATTGTGGCAATACAGTCATTCGAAAATCCTCGGTAATTCATAGCATCCCAAACAGTCTTGAATATAAATGGTTTTGCGCAGAACAAGAAACATCATGAACGTACATATTTTTAAAGGGGTCGGAGATCTTCTCCCTGTTAAATACATTTGGACAAAAGCATTATACCCTTTTTATCCATTTTCGATGAGTTCAGAGTATAAACAGATGCATGTTCGACCCTATAACTTGTATGTGTATATTCTTGATCAGCTAAATCTATCTAACCATGCCATTCTGGATTAACGCGTCTTTAAAATATATAATCTAGATTTGAGTTAAAGAGTCTCGAAATGAGATATTTAGATGAGATTTAAAATATTTCTACTTTGAATACCTCGTTCCCACGACTTAAAGATAAGAATGCATATTGCTGCTTACATGTAAAAAATGAATGAATGTTAAGGCAGCTCGGCGCTGGGTATAGGGTATCTTCTGGTGGACATACTTTACATCATATACTTATTTAAAGTTTTTCTGTCAAGAAGCCAGTTTAGCGGTTTTTGTACGTACCTTGGAAGCCAGCTTGCCATGTTTGCTTATCAGCTCATGCATCTCTTCATTTTTTTTGGCAAGGACAGTATCCTTGTTGCTAAGCTTCTTGAGCAGTTGTTTTTTTAACTGTAAATCAGGTAGATGTGAACAAATTTTAATATATGGTTAGGCAGGCAGCAGGTAGGTAATCAAAACTCGAACTAATTAAGGATATTACATACATTTTCAAATTCATTGGGTACATAGCTATGCATGTAAGTGTTCTCATTGTCGTCTCCGTCCTGAAGGGTGGCCGTAAATTTGGTCAGTTGCTTCTTTTTCACTACATTCTCTTTGTAAAGAAAAAAAAATGTAATGAAAATTATTGCTTAGATTAAAAAATAAATATTTTCAATATTTATACCTTTAGTGAGCGAATCTATCAGATGTTCATTTTCTAATATTTGTTCCTCTAGAACCGTCTTTTCATACCGTTCGGTTTCCAACTGAGCCTGTTAGTTAATTGAATTTTATTAGTATGGATTATGTACACCTTTTCACAGCCTCTTACACGTAATCCCAACAGCTCACGCGTACACTGTTCAAGAAGCTCAGTTTTAGGAGTGGGCGGGGCTGGCATTAGGCTGACACCTGGAAAGTTAATCAGTTCCCGCTTCACAGTCTTTGGCGTCGCAGGATTCGTACTCGCACTCGTATCATCATCGAGTGAAGCCGAGTCCAGGGTGTTGCTGTCTATCATAGAATTACTTCCATTACTTTTATTTTGGACTGACACGGGAATACTGACAATGGTCTCGTGCAAATGATTACGAGTCATTTGTGGCTTTTTTATAGTCTGTTGGAAAAATTCAGCTATGTACTGCTGGATATTGTATGGTAAATTTGTGCAAATATTTTGAAAATATTCGCTAGGACTCTGGACGCAGGTGTAGTGCATTAGAAGTGTGTAGACATAAATGTAATCTGCTGCTACTATACGACCATCAAGTTCCAAACGCGGCTCAAAATTTGGATAGTTATCTGCAAATGACATGATTTCAATAAAAACAAAAATGGGATAGTTTTAAAATGCCTATACCTCTAAGAAAAGTTTGCAGTAGTTCCAGAGGAATTGTGACGCTTGAAGGCGACGCCGGTAGCTTAACTTGAGCATACTGTGCATAAAAGGCAAAGAAAGCCTCTATATCGGAATTTTCTAGACTTGTAATATTTTCTATGAAATTGCATTTTTGCACCTGGAATTTATTTAGATTAAAGCATTAATATATATATTTTACTCTTACTTAATACCGATCGTAGGCACAGCTATAAAAACTTACCCACTGTAATAGAATCGTTTTCCAGACACGTATTTCCATTGTAAGACAATTTTACACAAAACAAAAACAAATGAACATAAACGAAGAAGTCAGACCTGCGTCGGTTGTCTGTGAAATCAAAAATACTATTATGTTCGTCTTCCTTATTCTTCGCTATTTTAAGGACTTGGCAACCATTTTGAATAGGTGAACCTGATTTTTTTTTTTAATTTAAATATTTTATATTTTCCTCCACTCACATGCGTACTTAATACATCCAAGCAACGTCTGGTTGAATTGTGTTATTAAAAGATTACAGACGCTCACAAAATGGGCGCGCTGCAAAAACATCGATGGTGGAATCGAAGTTTAGAAGGCTTCGCAATTGTGCGATAGATCGATGATTCCGGAACATCGATATATCATTGCACGGTAAGACGCTGATCATACGTATTTTCAGGCACTGCGTTTGCAACCACATCCAAAATCACTCGATGCGTTATTACAACTATAGATATAGCCTAGACCAAATGACGTTGTGTACATTGTCTTTAAAACATTAGATTGGTCTGCAAACACAAAAGCAAACACAAAAACTCTGGCAAATTAATCATAGGAAGCAACATAACGTCACCTGCAAACAAACAATAGTGCGCAAAAAACCCAGTTTTGTTTTCTTCGTCTGTCTTTATCGCCTGGATGTTTCAAAAAGATGTTGATGGCATAGGAAACTAGGTGTAAACATTTACTAATGTTGTTGTTGGCCGCGAAAAAAAGGTTTACGAACACGGTGTGCTAGGATTTTATTTCTTGAGTTTTAATTTATTAATACGTTCATTAAAAATAAACTATTTTTGTTTTATTTTATTTTATTTTAATTGTACGCAGCGAACGCACACAAAATGCCTTAAGATGCGACGTTATTCACAGTAAATACGAAATTAAATTTTTACAACAACAATAAATTAGAAGAGTGCAGTAGCTTAGATGATAGGCTGCAGCCCACAACAAAAGGTATATCAAGGATATTTTAAAAATTATTGGTTGTTGTAATGAAATATAATCTGGAGTTTCTGCGCTGACCTTTGGGTTGTCACTTCACATAGATTATTCGTATGCATTTGTGCGCATGAGCACTGGACGTGTATGTTGGTATATATAACCCAACAAATAAATGTCTTTCAATTTTGGGCAACTGTAAAAAAAAAACAGTGGACTGCAAGGTATTGTGCTCTTAACGTTGGTGTCTATTGTGTTGAACTGGTTTGGTTCATGGTATAAAAAAGGGAATTCCTTGTTCGAGCAGCAAATTATAACCACTAAGAGTCAACAGCTAAATAATCACATGAAAGTTATTATTATATTGTATACGGAAAAACAAATCGTAAACATGTATGTTTACCCCTGCCGAATACACAATGCTAACTAAAGACCACCGCTATTTATTGACAAAACTGTGGCCGATAGTTTAAAGTTTAAGTCTACATAAAAAAAGTGTTTTATCTTATATTTTTTAAAACTGATGAAGTCGGGAACTCTTGATGCTTCTACCTATTTGTTGTTAGTCTCTATGACCAACTATGGCCTTAGGCTGGTCAGCTCATTATTTACTATGTAAGTACACAATGGTGACTTAATTTTAATATTTTAAAAAATGTTCTGCAGGAGGCTGCTTTGCTCTTTTCTAGCCTCAGGAAATATTGGACATACCATCGCATTGGATTCATTTTCATATACTTTAGTCAACTAACAAGGCTGATTGAGAGTAGAAATGGATGCTGCTGTAGTGGGAACACTTTTTTCGCTTATCGATATTTGTGATAATGACTGCAACTACCGATATCTATTTGCGTCAAATTAGCTGCGGTGACTTAGCGTCGATTTTTGGTATTTGTTATCGAAAGGAATCGCTCACTTTTAAATGTATTTATTTGTATTTTTAAGCACAAAACCAAATAAATTTAAATGCAGAAAGGCAAAACAGAGAAGATATTTACTGTTTGCATTTATTTGTTTTTGAATTTCAGCTTATAATATGGGTAACCCAAGGAGTTGAAGAATTAGGTTCCAACCATTCTTTAAATATCTTTATTCAGGAATAATGGCCCCGAAAACCTCATGAACATGATTAAATTGTTTACGAGTCATTTGTGGCTTTTTTATAGTCTGTTGGAAAAATTCAGCTATGTACTGCTGGATATTGTATGGTATATTTGTGCAAATATTTTGAAAATATTCGCTAGGACTCTGAACGCAGGTGTAGTGCATTATAAGTGTGTAGACATAAATGTAATCTGCTGCTACTATACGACCATCAAGTTCCAAACGCGGCTCAAAGCTTAGATTGTTATCTGCAAATAACATGATTTCAATAAAAGACAAGCAAGAGGTTCTAGTCGGGAGCTCCCGACTAGGGAATAACCTGAACCCTCCAATTCCAACACCAAATGCAGCTTACACTGCGCGTTCGCTTGTAGTTATAAAGATAAATTTTAAAAACAATAAAGTTTCCTTGGCAGGATTTCGAACTCGCAACTGACCGCATAACTTACTGCCGACTCTACTCAACAACCACACCAGCCAAAAAATAAGTAATAGTTTCTTTGGTAGGGCTCGAACTCGCAACAGAACACGCTACGTGTTGCCACCTCTGCCCAACAGCCACACCAATTATTAACTCTTCATGAGAAAAAAAAAAACGAATTAAAATAGCAGCACAGAAAACAATAATATCGCAATTGCAATGCTATTGATAGAATTCGAAGCGGACTCGTATGAATGTGTGTGGGTACATGGATACAGAAATTCTTGGAATTTGCGCTTGCTGATGCTAACACGTGCGCAGTAAAAACACATAACTTTTGGGTGTTTCTAAGCCGATATTAATGAAAGCATAGAATATTTGTGTATTCTCAAAAAGTAAATTGGCTGGCCTCTTGTTTGCGGTAGCTCTACCACATAACATATATGGGCATGGCAAAAAGCACCCGCAAACCCATGAATTTGTACGGCTTTATTTAACAACATGAAAACGACATGCTGAACGGTTTTTGAGGGCAACAAAAAATTCGAAGACATCTAGTCCAAAATCGCGAGCTAAAAAGTAAGATATACATATGATGTCTTTTCATTCGCTTACACTACAGGAAACTGCTTTGGCTTACTCTCCTCCATATGATTTGTGCGATTACTTTTAGTGCTCGCTCATGCTTAGGGATCTTTTAAATGTGTATATGTGTCCGACAAGCAAAAATGCGCACAAATTCAATTTTTCTCAAATGTCAAAAGAATTTCAACCTTTGTGAAGGGACGAGCAATATGAAATCATTACGTCGATGCGAAATTCTTGCATTTTAGCTCGTTATCGTTGGTAAGGGTACCTAAGCGTTGGCATGTGTGCATTTAAAATATTTTGGACTCGCTAGAAGCAACTGCTTTGGCTTACTCTCCTCCATATGATTTGTGCGATAGAACGGCATCGCTGTTTTTTTTTTATCTTGCTCGCACTTACTTTTAGTGCTCGCTCATGCTTAGGGATCTTTTAAATGTGTATATGTGTCCGACAAGCAAAAATGCGCACAAATTCAATTTTTCTCAAATGTCAAAAGAATTTCAACCTTTGTGAAGGGACGAGCAATACGAAATCATTACGTCGATGCGAGATTCTTGCATTTTAGCTCGTTATCGTTGGTAAGGGTACCTAAGCGTTGGCATGTGTGCATTTAATATATTTTGGACTCGCTAGAAGCATTTATGCGCTTGTTTGCCTGTTGGTTGCCTGCCTGTCCGATGAAAATTTGACGAGATCTTTGGATTTCTGATTTTCGACCGCTACACACAGACAACACACACAAATGTGTGTAAGTGGGCAGATCATGGGCGCAAAAAAAAATTTCATTATTGGCACGCGTCGGGATTGAGTAAATTGAATGAGAAGGCTAAATATGATAAGTCAATAAAACGTAACGCCACTGTCCTCAATGAGAAAATTAGAAGCGATGCGTTACACACATTCGTGTCGGGATTGAAGAAATACCTTCAATCAGCCGTTTTCCCAGACCAGCCTCGAGATTTGCCAACTGCACTGGCCTTGCCACAAGAGGCAGACGCGAGTAATATTACTAGTTCGCAACTAGTTTTGCTAGGCATATGGCCCTTATTTACACAACACTCAAGGTCAGACACCAGAGGCTATGGAAATAGATTCGTCTTCGCGGTGCAGACAACCGACGAATTGTAAGGGACATAGAATCTTAGAGCTCATCGAGATACACCAGTTGTCTCGCTCCAAGCAAACTTCTTATAAGAAAAGCCAAAAGGTGCACTTTACATCCCAAAGTAAATCGGAAGACAAGTCGTATGAAAACTAAGCACAGTCCGAGGCGACTGCTGCTGAAGACGAATTGTCTGACGCCGAAAGCTGAAATTTGCTAGGGAAACTCCCTGCTCCCGTACATAACTCGTACGGTGGCAGGGCAAAATATCAGGCTGCTCCTCTAAAACAATATTAAACCATTGTCCGTGTTGGCCAACTTTAGGCCAGTTGATTAGTGCTCCAGTGTCTATTCCATACATGGAAGCACGCTTATAAAACAAAACAAGTAAGAGGTTCTAGTCGGCAGCTCCCGACTAGGGGATACCCTGAACCCTCTTCTTCCAAAATCAAATGCATATATATATTCTATTTTAGAAGCTATATGTCAAATTTGGTGACTTTAGCTCTTATTATTTACCAAAATTGACAAAAAAAAACAGGATATCGATAAAGATTTTTATCGATTGCTTGGAAACGGAGTAAGTTATCGATTATCGGAAACAAACTCGATCTGCGCGGGAGCTAGGAGCATCTACATCTAAAATTTCAAGTCTCTAGTTCTTATAGGTTGTGAGATCCTTGCGTTCATACATACGAACGGACGGACGGACGGACGGACGGACGGACGGACGGACGGACGGGCGGATGGACGGACAGACAGACGGACATGGCTAGATCGACTCGGCTATTGATGCTGATCAAGAATATATATACTTTATGGGGTCGGAGATGCTTCCTTCTGCCTGTTACATACATTTGGCTTTCGCACAAATACAATATACCCTTATGCACTCAAACTGTGCAGCGAAAAAATAATACCGAGAAAATAAGAACAGATCGAACAAGTCGTATCAGATAGAAGACAAAGTTTTGGTAAAGTCCAATAAAAGGTTAAAAAATGAATTGACATCACTTAATGTCGAGGGGATTGTAGAATCCGATTTGGGTTCGGGCGTTCTAATTAAAGAGAGGGTGGTCCATAAGAACAAT